AATCGTAGTTTAGCTCATAGAATAGAATAGAATAGAATTTTATTATTTGTATTTCGTTTTTATGTTTCCCTTTTTCCCCCTTTTGAATTGTTCACCGCCCTGAGTCCTCCCGGAGAAGGGCAGCATACAAATAATAAAATTCTATTCTATTCTATTCTATGAGCTAAACTACGATTGATATAAAAGCTCTCTTAGAGCACGGGTCCCCAAACTCCAGAGCTGGCTGAATTCTCCAGAGCTGGCTTAAAGTTGCCAAGTTTGAAGACCTCTGCTCTAGAGCAAGACATTACTGGAACTCAGCACGTGGGGTAGGTCTCGGGCTAAAGAAGGCAGAAGCAGTAACTGCACACCCAATTCACTGAACGACATTCATCATGAAACCAAAATGCACCCATGCTCAGGTGGATAGTCTTGGTTGAAGAGCAATGCCAACTTCACCCGCCCGTTGAGCCTCTGCCCCAAACCTTGCAGTAGGCAAACCTGCTCAGAAATGATTTGGTATTCGATTGTCTTCTTCATGCATTGGGAGCCAATGTGAACTTGAATGGCACCTTTGAGGATGTAGACTGATGCCTACAGAGGTGTCTAACAATCACAGGATCACTGCCACTTGTACGAGTGATAAGGGGGCCACAAGGTCTGTCTGGGGAGCCCCACTTGGCTCTTTCGCACATATTCAATGCAGGAATTGTTTCACTGGCATCAAAAGTACATGGAGTGCCAGAGAATGCATACATAGCCATGTTCTCTAGATAAGTCAGGTTAAACAGTAACTCCACAGGATAAGTCACATAACATGTCAGTAGCTACCGTAAATCACACAGAGAAAATAAAGCACAGTGGGGAAAAAACTTGTTTTTATTTAGATTTGCTGCCTATTATGTTCTGAGATGGGATGAAAATAACATCCTTTTCAGGAGCTTTTCAAGGAGAACAGCTATTTAAGGAAGCACTGCTTATACTCTGCCATTTTCCTGTTTTGAAACTTTGGAGAGCTTGGTGCAAATTCAGAGTCAATTAAATACTTGGCAAGTACTAACTGGTGTATACAGTCCTTTCAGAACTTGCACTTCCCTCTGAGATACTCCAACTTTAACCATACAACATGACCACAGAATGAGACAACTGACTGTGGCCAACTCACCCTGGTGGTCTTGCCGGGGCCAACTCACTGCAAAACAACTTTCCACATGATAACTCGTAGCGGGAATAACTCAAGAGACAGACAAGTAGAATCGCAGCTCACCCCAGCCTCAAGAACTTCTAACTTGAGAAGGTTCAAACCTGAAGCAAGACAAGGCCTGTTGCAATTCACTGATCCGACTTGAGTGAATTGTCCAATGGTGAGTTGGCCGGGGTGAGAGGGCTGGGGCAAGTCAGCCATGGCGAGATGTCCTAGACCAGGGGTCTCCAACCTTGGCAGCTTTAGGACTTGTGGACTTCAACTCCCAGAGTTGATTCTGGGAGTTGAAGTCCACAAGTTTTGCTAAGGTTGGAAACCTCTGTCCTAGACCCACATGGCCAAGCCTTGTGTTGTTGTCGTCCTAAACAGCCAGAATTCAGATGCTTTTAATTTGCTTTTTCCCCCCATTTTTTTTCTACTTTCGTTTAAACCAGTGGCCACCAATCTATTAGGCACTTGGAACTGGTTCCATGGAGAGAGTTTTTTTCCATGGACTGGAAGGAGTGTGGTTTTGTATCCCACAGATGCGGCTTCGCTTGTTTGCATGGCCTGATTT